TGTTAAGTAAATCACCATCATTGTTAAGTTAGTAGCACAGTTGATAAATGCATCTGGCTTCCCCATCAACTTAGTTTGTCAGAACGACACAAAAGGTGATCACATGACCCCAGGACACTGCCACCATCATAAATATGAGTCAGTTGCCCAGCGTCTGAATTTTGATCACATGACCGTGAGGATGCCGCAATGGTCTTAAGTGTGAAAAACGGTCGTAAGTCACTTTTTTCAGTGCCGTTGTAACTCTGAACGGTCATTAAATGAACTGTTTTGAGTTGAGGACTATATGTAAGCAAACTACCACCCAAGAAGAAGGCACGACAAACCTTTTTCCGTCTTATTGTCAGAAGAATCCTATGGATGTAATCAACAGGAGCTGAGCTCAACTCTAATGAATCTCTACCTTTTCTTTCACTTTCTAGCCCGGGGGTAGTCAACCTTGGCTCTTTTATGACTCGTGGACTTCAACTCCCAGAATTCCTGAGCCAGCTAAGCTGGCTCAGGAATTCTGGGAATTAAAGTCCACGAATCATAAAAGAGCCAAGGTTGACTACCCCTGTTCTAGCCAAATGGCATGTTGGACAGAAATTTGGATAAAAAAGTCGGTCATCTCACTGCCCATCTTTTATCAACTCTCCAAAAGGTGAGCAGAAGGGGTCCAAATTTGGGGTGAGAAGAAGCCAGCCAAGGACAAAGTTTTTAATTGCATCAAATCAGGCCGTGAGCTTTAGAGAAACACCCTCCCCACCCCGGTTGCAATCCTATAGAAGACTCAGTTGGGCGACCACTACAAAAATTGATGACTTTTCCATTCTCAGCTCTCCTCCTTCATCCCTCGTGGTCACGTGTCCCAGAGTGGAGCATATGCAGACATCCCTTGCTTTCCAGTTACACGTCTATTCACAAACAGGTGGCCACATCTGGGGAAGGATTTGGCAAGAATTCCAGAAGAAGACATGTTCTCCCCGTTTTCTCTGTTCGGATTAGGGAGGGAGTTGCTAAGGCCAGCTTAGTGGACTGTCAAAAACAAGACGAAATTGTTGTTTCATTTTCCAAAACAAATGAAAAGCATCTCTTACCTGTTCCTTCAATCTCTGCTCCAGCAGGGACCATTTGTACTGGGTTATCCCTCCAACTTTCTGGCCCAGACTCCATATCTGCAATTCATGGATAGAGGCAAATATAATCCCCACCTCACTTCCTGCAAGACCATCTCCTGTCCTGCTTGACTCCCAGCCAGGAGAGCAAGTAGATGGTCCCTCAAGGTGGAATGATCAGGAGAGAGAGACATGATTAAGACTGCCCACCCCAAACCTGAAGCCAGGACTATATAGCCCCCATCTGCCTCTGAGTTTCATTTCTGAAAATAAATAAATAAATGCTCTTGCCTGCCTTCAAAACATCATAAACAATGCTTCAATTATTTATAATTTTATAATAATGTTAAACTGCATTCATAATGTGGGTTTCTCTTAACGTAAGCTCTTAGTCCAACTTTCAGTGATCTGTTAAATAATCAGTCGTTCACTATGGACAGTAATTACTGTAATTCTTTATCATGCCTTCTGATTAATACTGTGCTGATTGTTGCCGTTGTTATTTCCATGCTAACCAGGTTTCAATAATGACCTGATTTTTTTAATGATATAAATTATTCACTTATGTAAAACTAACTAATGAAACACTGAAAATTCTTATCTAACACACGCATATATATATATAGATATATAGGATGCTCAGTTATATAAAACTAAAAAATATTTTTTAAAAATTATCGGTTAGATATAAATATTTTGCAGGATCCAGGGACATGTATATTTGCCTTCATTAATAAAATATTTTATTTATATATATATTCAGATTTGTACACATAAATATAAATATGCTATTCAGTTATGTAAAACTATTTTGTGAAATATTGAAGATTCTTATCTGTATATATAAAATGGAAATTCATGAGAAATATAAATTAAATGTTATATATCTATATCTATATCTATATCTCTATATCTATATCTATATCTCTCTATCTCTATCTCTATCTCTATATCTAATCTCTAGTGAAGAGAATGAACTGAATCAGATTTTCCCAATTCAGCATCATCCAAAAATGTTGGCAACTCCCAGAATTCCTTTGGCCATGATGTTCCAGATGTTTGCAATCTCAACATTTCTTTGGGTTCCTGGCTAAGAAAGGCTAAATTAAGTAGACTTTATCATGTATCGGACTGCAGATACTAGATATTAAGTCTGGCATTGGTTCCGTGCCACCAACGTATTTTTGCATTAAATTTCACACACATAGACACATCACTCCAACACAATCCTTGCCTCCGCCCCTGATTTTACTCACCGCTTTGCAGTGGTCTCTTATGGGATGGCTGGTTTGGAGAAATTTCTTGCGGGTAAACAAATCCCAAAGATTGAGTGGCACAAAATATCTTCTGCTCCTTGGACTATGAAATTGGGAGAAGAATAGTTACACCTAGGAGTATCTCTGACCAAGTAGCTTTATGCTGCTTTCCTCATACAAGTATTGACTGGTGCTTATCCCTTGCCAGGGGTCTCTACCATTCCCCCCACCCACCCATCTTTTCTCTCTGTATTCATACCCTTGTACTTCTTTGCTCCCATTGGTTGAATGAAGGAGCAAGTTTCGTGACTTTTTCTGTGTTTTTGAGGGGGGGCAAGGGGGACGGAGGCAGACGGATTTTCCATGTCAGCACAGCCAATGTGTGTGTCTGTGTGTGTGAGGGAGGGAGAGGGAGAGAGTGTGTATATCACGACTTTGCAATCCCCGAGGGGTGACCAGGTGGCCAAATTTCAGAGACAGAAAAAGAAAAGGTCGTGAGAGGAAGCGAGGGGTGTTTATCTCTCAGGAACACAATACAGTTCACCAAATCTTCCAAGCAAGCTAGTCCTCCCAACTCAATCAATCTTAACAGGAGACACCGTGACTTCCTCCAAGGCCTGCCGTAAGCCAGAAAAGCCTAATTTTTCTCACTGCCTCAAACGCCTGCTAACCCAGGTTTATTATTCCCGAGAGCCAAGGCTGTTTACCTAGGATGCTGAAAGAAGAACACTCCAAGAGTTACAGACATAGAAAGCTCTTCCCAAGCTGTTGGACCACAATTCTCAACCAGCCGTGCAAGTTCAAGGGAGGGAGCGTTAGAATTCAACACAGCTCTAGAAGGAACTAAGTTGACCAACTCTACAGTTGTATCGACACGCTGTGCTTAAGAAAGGAGAGGTGAGCTTAACAAACACCAGCAAGGAGAAGAGGATTGGATCAGAATCATAACGTGGGAGGGAAAGTGAGCTGGCTGTGCCTATCCAGGTGCTTCCAATGGGAGATCTCCAGATATTTACCCACAAAACAAGCAAGATATCCTCACCCCCCCTTGGTGCTCACAAGCACCTTCCTAACACAAGGGTGACCTGTACTGAGAAACAGGAGTTGGGTGGGGGGTAGGACAAGCATATAAAAAACAGAGTCTGGTTGCATTGTAGCATTATGCTGTGTAATTAAAACCAAATACAGTAGCTTGATTTTGGCCATGTTGACCACACATTGTCTCTCCTGCGCACTTTTCTCCATGGCAAGCAATGAGTGGCAGAGTTTCCCAACCCATAGAGAAGCCAGTCCCCTTGTACTTAAACAGCCCTAAACCACAAACCCACAGAATTGGGCAATGGATTGAGATTGGGCAAGAGACAACAAAAGAGCTCTCCCCACCCAACAAGCTTGTTACCCCTAATTGAGCCAGGAACTAGCCCTACATCTGAGTCTCAATTCACCTTTCCCAACCTGGTCCTCTCTAAATCAGCTGGACCACAACCCCACATCACTTCCTGGCAGCCTGGGCAAGGATGATAGACTGTAGTTCACTGCATCTGGGCAAGGCTTGTTCAAGATCAAGGGTGCATAACTTTGGCCTGGACATGATATGCTGGAGGCTAGATCCCCTTATGTTTAGTCTAGACAAAAGAAGGACTACGGGTGATATGATACTAGTGTTCCAGTATTTGAGGGGCTGCCACAAAGAAGAGAGGGTCAACTTATTTTCCAAAGCACCAGAAGACAAGACAAGAAGCAAAGGATGGAAACTAACCAAGGGGAGAAGCAATCTAGAACTAAGGAGAAATTTCCTGGCAATGGGAACAATCAATCAGTGGAACGGCTTGCCTCCAGAAGTTGTGGGTTCTCCATCACTAGAGGCTTTAAAGAAAAGACTGGACAGTCACTTGTCTGAAATGATATAGGATCTCCTGCTTGAGCAGGGGTTTGGACTAGAAGACCCTCAAGGCCCCTTGCAGCTCTATTCTGATTGATTGATTGATTGAGTAAGTAGGATGAAGTTGTGGGTTACATCAGTCCCCAAATAAATCTGATTTAATTATAATTCCAACCCAAATAGTTAAAGAAAGCATCTGTCAAATTGAAATCTGCAATTCAATGGCAACTTCTGGAGGAGTTGGGGGCTTGTGCACCTCTGTCCTACATGAAACCTGAAGTCCTGCCTCCTTACCTCCAAAGCACTATCTGCTCTCCATCCTCCTCCCATCAACAGCCCCTCACCCTGCATTCCAGCTGCCACAATGATCTTTCAGAAGAACTCTTACTTGTAGGCTCACGGTTCCTCTTGAGTTTGAGGGCGCTCCATTCTTTGCCCTTTCCAGGGAATCTCAGGAGAGAGGTGGGTAGGTGGGTGGGTACACCAGCCTCTGAAAGTATGATGTGAGATTGTGCAACAGCCCCAGCATTGAGACAAGGAGTGCACAACAGCAACCGGAAACCACAGGGCCCCCACGCCTTACCACAAAGCACAAACCAGGTGCAGTAGAGCTCAGAAATGTAGTAGAAAAAGAGGCGGAGGAGAAGCCAGAATGAAAAGAAACTGTCCATTTGCTCTGCCTGAGTTGGAATGCTGGACGTTTTTCAGCCAACAGAAAATATCTAGGAACAATTGAGGGGGGGGTCCATCAAGGTGAAAGAGGTAGATGACCAAGGCACTAGGTCAAGTTGGGCATCTTTGTTTAGGGGGAAAAACGTCTTAAAAACAAATTGAATTAAAAAATAAATAAAGATAATATTGCGGCCTCTCTTTTATCTGATTCCAAAAACATTGGCTGGACAGGCAGAGAAGAAACCAAATATCTCTATTTCCAAAAACATGATTAAAAAACGTGAAATTAGAAAATGGGGTAAAATATTTCCCAGTTACCAAATCATCCCCTGAATCTGCCCTTGGGGTTGAGGGCGGGGGGTGGGGGTGGGCATCAGTGGCACGATCCACCTAAGGTACCAGTTTCTGTTTGTTAGGAACAAACCTTGCAGCCAGAAAATATAATTTGCATTATTTCCCCTGAATGGACCATGTGGGGCAGGCATCCAGAACCCTACCCAGTTCTGTACATAAGAGGCTGTCGAAGATTTACCAGATTTAGAAATAAACATAGCACTGCATTCAGCAGCCTTATTGAATTAGCCCATTTTTGGGACTTGTGAAAAACACCCAATTACAAACGAGCAAAAGAGGCTGAATTCACACGACACGTTAAGGAGAACCTAACCAAGATGACTTCTAACTGAGCTTCCCACGTTGTGTGTGGATGGAACCCCTAGTTTTAACTATTGGGATGACTGTGAACACCGCTAGTAATTGCTGTTGCTACATCACAAAGCATTAAAGCCTGCAATTAGTTTCATAACATGTTATCTTAAAAATATGAAAACCGCTGAAACCAAGTTTCAAAAGCACAATTCCAACTAACTCAAAGAGAACTCTACAGTGAGTTTGTTTGTACAGGGCTTAACCTTATACTGATTCACTCCTTTGAGTTACAAATAAATAAAGTACATGTTGTTAAGAACAGAACAGAACAGAACATCAGAGGTGGAAGGGACCTTGGAGGTCCTCTAGTACAACCCCCTGCTCAGGCAGGAAACCCTATACCATTTCAGACAAATGGTTGTCCAATTAACTTGATGGCCAGGATGCATGCAGAATGCTAAACCAGGAAAAAAAAATAATCCAGGTGAAAATTGCCAAAATTAACATACTGTGTGAATGCAACCAATAAGCTGGTTACAGACCCAGTTAAGTGTGTTGTGCAGACGCAGCCAAGTGAGTGTATTCTACAGCAGGGGGTAGCAGAGTGAGCCTGCTTTCAGCGGAGCCCATCAAACAGAACTGTTAATTGATGGTATCTGCGGAAGATCTTTCCTGCAGAGATGAAAGAGCAGTCCCATAACAAGAGGAATCTATCATTGGATGGCCAGCCCCTACAATGCCTTCAGCGGCAAAAGTTAAAACCACAGCCTGGCACTGAGACCAGGCAACGATAAACAATGTATATGGTATCTTCCCCTTTATCAAACCATTATAAGAAGAGAGAAACATGACCATTTCAGTTGGGAAAATGCAGTTAGCATGGGATTTTTAAGAAGTGCATGTGAAGAAGAGATAAGGTCAAGAATGAATGAGTGCTGAACAACGATCAAATTGGAAAACAAAGTAAGGAAGATTGGATGAGTTGAGAGGGACAGAAAGGCAGAAGAATTCAAGGTTGGATGGAGTTGAGGAGAACCTCAAAAAGATAAAGAAAAGCAGTGTATGGATATAATGGAGGTAAGGAAGGCCGAAAGATATGATAGTGGAGGTATAGTGAAGGATGTTGGCTTAAGCTCAGAGGCATTTATAGGACAGCAGAGATTCAATCACATAGTTGCACCTGCCATTTTGATTTCTTTGATCTTCCTCTTGCCTCTTTTTAAATATATTTAGATGTAGCTATATTTCCTTTAAATGTATTTAGATGTAGCTCTATCTCCTTTTCCTTTTCCAATTAAATTACCTATAACTTCTTTGACTTGCTATTTCTTATTCTTTTTCTGTGTTTAGCACAGGGGTCCCCAACTTGTGGGCTGTTAGGGGTTTGCAACCAGGCCGTGGAAATGGCCAGCCAGCACGCATGCACACGCACATCCTCACTTGCGTGAGCAGTGGGCAAGCATGCGTGTGCTCCATTCAAGTGAGTGGCAGGCATGCGTGTTTCAATATTATTCTTGCAATGGGTTTCCATTTTGATAACCATACATCACAATAAACTATAACATAGTTTGCTGGGGTTTGAATTAGTTTATTCTGCAGACAAACCCATGGAGGTATATTAAACCATGACTTGATGTCAGCTTAATTGGGTCAGCTAAAAACCAAATGGGTGCATTTGCACCACATACTAAATTTAAATAATATTAATCATGATTTGTTTTTTATTCCCCTTGTGCTGTCCAAATTTAATCCAGATTGTTAGTTTACATAATTTTCAAAATCAAACTATGGATTAATTAAATAATCAAGTTAAATGTGCTAGGTGTAGATACAGTCATCTTATTGTACATGGTCAACCAATAATGATTTGTTCAATAAAATATAACCCAAACTTTCTGGTCTAGTAAACTGTAAACCAATCTAGAACCTTCTAGATCAGTTTATTTCCCAACCTTGGCCACCTGCCTGGGCAATTCTGGAAGTTGAAGACCACACATCTTAAAGATTGGCCAAGGTTGAGAAACACTGTTCTAGATTCTTATGTTATGAAGCCACTCTGTACTCCAGCATATAAATAACCAATGACTTGACTGAGGACAAAAGAGAAAAAGCATGAGATAGAATAATCAGCTAATTGTTATCATTTAAAAATTGTTCCTGCTCATAGGATAAAGAGAGGGGATCAGATCAGATCATTCTAATTAGAATGACTCCAGTCCAAAATTCACATCAACAATGTTCAGCAATTTACTGATTAAATATCAATGAATCTCAATTAACAAAGACACAGACTGCATGTGAATCTAACAATAGTCTCCATCTGAGAATGAAGTTTTTCACTTCTTCTCCTGTTTTCTTTTCAAATAAACTCTTTTCTCAACTTTTTCCTAACCCAGACAAAATTGATTGGAATTTGACTGATATCATGGACACCATATCCTTCATCCTAACAAAATGATTTCATACCCACTGACACATTATGTCTGCCAATGTCTGCACCACCTCAATTATTATTTTTTAAAATTCCTTTCGTTAAGCAGAATACGTTAAGTAAATAAATAGGGGGTACCCTACTGCCAAGCAAAGCTCTTTTTTTTACATAAATGCCACCAGATCCTACTCGGGCCCATAATAATCTTCAGATAACAACAACAACAACAGCAACCAAAAGCTTGGGAATTTCAGGTTATTTCTTTGCTGAGACTGATGGTAGAGAAAATAATAAAAATAAAACAAAGCTAAGACGGGGAACAATAGCAGGGAGAAAGCTGGCCAGAAATAACAAAAAGTAACCTCATCTTATTGTCTCCCAACCATGGAGCATGAAATGATTGGGTACACCGTGGTCCAGTGTGGCAGCCATTTTGTGAGGGTGCCCAGAGGTCGTTTGCTGACCTAACAGGTTAGTCTCCCAAATAGACTAAGCTCCCAAAACAGCCTCCCTATCAACTGCACAACAGAGCAGCATCATTCAGTAACGTAGCAGAGACAGAATCAAGGATTACAGATGAAATCACTGAGCATGAACTTATAAGCAGTTTGCAATTCCGGTCTCGTTGAGATCTAAAGTGAGTAAATAATCCATCAGGCTTGCCTGCCCTCAGTCTAGGAGGCCCCACTGAAAGCAATTCGCTTGAGCTAAAGAGGGTAACCTGGCGCAAACAAGGGGGCCAAGACAGAAGTTACCTCTGAATGTATACAGTGCCTTTCCGACTCCAGAAGCTAATTTTCAACCCATAAAAAAACCACTTGCTTTAAAGATCAAGCATTGGGTCCTCCTGATTTTTGTGGGGCGCACCCTTCTCGGTTCTGCTTCTTGCAAAAATAAATCAAATGACCCTCCAAGAACACCAGCAACAGGTCTTCTTTTGCCCTCATCCCTCTCTGTTTTTCACCCGCCGTTTCTCTTGTCCTTCCATTTCTGTCTCAAAAATCTCTTGACTTACCCATTTGTAATTTGAACAAGAAGAGGGGGAAAAAAATGCATCTAAGCCAACAATGCTATTTTAAAAAAAAAAAAAACTTTCAGAGCCTGTAAGCTTGGTCACACCAATAGGAAACCAGCCCTGGCGGTTTGTGTGACTTCACTTCCCAAAATTAGACGCACACATACACACCACACACACACACATTCACACACACACACCAAGCCTTGTTCATCCGGCCCCCTGCGCAAGATCAGCCCTGCCAATGCAACTCATCTGAATGCCCATGGAGATCTAGGCGGAAAGCAGCAGGTAGAGGCGTGCCATGGATTGCACCATCAAGGTAAGTCCTGGAGAAGTTCCTCCATCTTTGTTAGCAGCTGATTCCCCTCGCTTTGTCTCTGTCTTCCAGTTTGCACTGAGCTGGTCTCTGGTTCAGTTCCTCTCTGTCTCATACACACCCAGCTCCAGAAACAGGGGCCCCCTCCGCTCTTTCCTTCTGGTACAAAAAAATTTCCTCTTCCTTCCCTTTCGTGGCGGTTGATGTCTCTGAGTTTAAAAAACCCAAACCAAACCACCACCAGACACTTTCAGCTGTGAAGCAGAGAGCCCCTTGCACCGCTAAGTCTGGCCAACCAAAGGAACGCAGGCGAGCGAGTTTTGGGGGATTCCCATACTTTGTCACAACTGGACACAGAGACGTATCTTTCCCCAAACCATCAAGATGCCAGGCAAGAGATGAAAATGGCATCTCCATGCTAAAACACAGAAGTCCAGGGATGGATACAAAGTGTTGGGGGACACGTCACCCCCAAACTGGAATTACTTCCCTGTGGTAAGAGGTCAGTTCATTTTATTTTTTTGCAATTCCTGATGTTATTAATCCCTTTTCAATTTTTATGAAGCTTTTATCCTTTCCAACAGTAGCTGTTTTTATTCATTCATTATTTCCGACTTTAGCTTTTGATTTCGCCCATTCCTTTTACATTTTATTTTCTTACGCAGCACACATTTTTGACCAGGTTGGCCAAGCAGATGCTGACTTATACAAACACTGGAGGCTTCAAAATTTTATCCTCTCAAGGGCATGGCTTGTTTTAACCAAGCTCCGCTCTTGAAAATAATAATAATAATAATGATAATAATAATAATAATAATAATAATAATAATAATAATAATAATAATAGTAATAGTAATAATAATAACAACAATAATAATACAATTTAGATTGGGAGAGAATTTTCAGAATTAATTGAGAGGAATTTTTCCTCTGATCAAAGTTTGACAATATATAGTTAACTCTTGTCTAAGGATATGCAATTATCTTCGGTTTTGCATTATTATTGGCAGGGAAGGAATCTGTGCTGGGATTTTGACTGTAGTTTAGTGCTGACCTGTTCAGATTTTTAAAGATGAGGGAAATGGAGTCTTGCTTAATCATTTGCAAAGAAGAAGCTGGGTTGGTCTGTCACAGCGAAACCAGCAAGCCAGGGCTTTATTGTCTAAGCTGTTCTTGGAAGTAGTTGGCTTTAAGGGGACGCATAGAGTCCATAGACTCAAGACTAGCAAAGGATCTGGCCTAACGTCATCATCCGTCTTCCTTCTCTATGACCTTTTGGACTAGCTGGTGAATACAGCTCTACAACATCCAGGTTAAATAGACCACCGATGTCTTCTCTCACTTGAGGGTTCCGCCAAATCTTGAGAATGATCTTGGGTTTGGCATCGACTTCAGGATTTTCTGGAATGCTTGACGTGTGAAAGGCCAAGATTTGCCTGTTTGTTTTTCTTTCCCTGGTCATTCTGTGGCAGGGACAGATAAAGTTGCCTTAACTTTGCTTTCCATGGGACGCAGAAAGAATGATTCAGTTTCCAAACAATAAGGCTCTGCAGTTTTCTTTTCTTCAAGTCAAGCCAAGTTAATCAGACACCACCTCATCCCAGATTCTCTGCTCTTCCTGCTTTCAAAATAATTTGATCTGCAAAAGCCGTCGGATGAAGATTTAGCAAGGCACAGAGATGAATCGGATCACCTGCTCATGTCTGCAGATAGAAGGGCTGTTAATGGACATTGCAAGGCTAACGTAGATTCAATGAATTATTGCTTTAAAAATGAACAAAAAGAGAAAAATTGCCAGTTTGTTGAAGACACCAGCTAGAGATCAGGAGACTCTGAGTTCTAGTCCCGCCTTAAGAATGAAAGCCGGTTGGGTGACTTTGAGCCAATCACCAGGAGACAGTGAGTTCTAGTCCCGCCTTAGGCATGAATCCAGCGGGGTGACTTTGGGCCAGTCCGTCTTTCTAGGCCCAATTCACCTCACAGGGTTGTTGTGGGGGAAATTGGAAGAGGAGGAAGAAGTATTTGCTGCTGCTTGCACTATTTATAAAATTCTTTTTAAAAATGCCATTTTGAATGTTTGGAGCAACTCTACCATTGGGTCAGCCCAAAACTTTAAGAAAGCAGAAGCAGAGGTTACCAACTTTTTAAACACCATTATTGCCTCCCCCCTCTCCCGCCCGCATCCTGTGTGCAATTGTTGAGATTAGCAGGTGAGAGAACATTTGACTTTGGGGCTATGCAATGTTGATTCTTCCAAATTGGTTTCTTCTGTCACATGCCAAGTCTCGGCTGGGGGCTATGTAGGAGAGGGGCTGTTAAAATAACCCTCTTTTGTCGTGCCAGGATCCTCCCATAATAATTGTAAGGATACATAAAAAGAGTGGGCTGGATCTGATCAAAAATCTCCCAACAATTAAGGAAAATTTCTGGAAAATTCCCACGCACAACATGAGCCAAAGAGCAATCAAGTGATCTTGGTATCCTCTAACAACAATGGTTTCAGAGGCAAACTATTTCTGATTTCCTCCTGAACTCTTTCTCCACGGCTTTGCAGCACCTTCTTGAGATGTTTTGAGGACAAATCCAGGGCACCTTGTAATGGCAAATTCCATAGTAAAACCCCTTGCAAGCAAATCCTTTGCATCTCTTTATAATTTCCAGCACCATGTTATTCCTGATAGGTTGCTTCCAAAAGTTAACATCCACATCCAAAATTGCCAATATATTCAGGAACTGCTTTGCCCCTTAACTGCTTTGGCTCATAAGTTTTTCCAGTCCCCAGAGTGGTGCCAACTCAGCTCTATAGATTTTCAGAATGACTCCAGATCATGCCAGTCCTTTTCTAGAATAAAATCTGCTGCCCAGCTACCCACCTCCCCAATTGCAACCTTGACAACCTCCTCCTCCTCCATTCATTTTGACATTTCAGGATTAACTGCAGGAGAAGACGTGATTTCCATTGACCTACTTAACATGATCTCAGACTCCCTTTCCTGGACAAATATCCCCACTCTCATATGATCTAATGGTTAAGGCAGTGTTTCTCAAACTTGGCAACTTAAGATGGGTGCACGTTAATTCCCAGAATTCCCCAACTTGCTATATTATATAGCATGCAGGCTGAAGAGTTCTGGGAATTGAAGTCCACATATCTTAAACGTTGAGAAACCCTTGGTTAAAAGGATAAATTATGAGGAAAGGCCACATCTAATTCCATCCTCAGCCATGGAAATTCCCTGGGTGGTTTGGGGCAAGTCATTCTCTCTTATCCCAGTCTATTTCACAAGGCTATTGTTATGGGGATAAAATGAATGGCAATACCTGTCTAAGCAGCTTTGAGCAAAGGTGGAATATCAATCTACCAAAGAAATAGTCTTCTCCTGTGACGTCCATCTTCAGTTTCCTGGGCGACAATTTAGATATGTTCATCTCTCTGCTTTTTCATTTGCTCAGTCTAAACCTACATCCTTGAGATGTAGGTCTCTCATCCCAGCTTGATCAGTTTTTCCAAGCTTACCCACTAGGGCTGGGAGCATCCCTTCAGCTGGGCAACCCCTAAACCAGAGGTCCCCAACCTTTTGGGTACCAGGGACCGGTTCTGTGGAGAAAGGTTTTTCCACAGACCTGAAAGTGTGTGGTTTTGTGTGCTGCCTGCATCCCACGGATGGGGCTTTGCTTGTTTGTTGCGGCCCAGTTGCTGGCATGCTGCGGCCCGGTACTGGTCCATGGACCGGGGGTTGGGGACCTCTGCCCTAAACAGTCCCTTTGAGCGAAGATAGGAGGGCTTTCCTGTCCCAGGTACCATTTCATACCCAGCCCACTCCCTCCAGTTTTGAAAGATTCTTTTCTCCCAGCCTGTCCTGCTTTTGCAGATCCGGCCTCTGCTGACCCTTTGCCCCATCAGTGCCAAAGAATTGCTGGAGCAAAGGAGACCAAGCGCCAGTAAACCTCCAGCCCCTCCTCCCAGACTTAGGATTTCAATAGCCAAACAGGAAACTCTGCGTGCATCTCTCCCATCACCTCCTCCTCCTCCTCTTGATCCTTTATTACAGAAGATGGGAGAGCTATTTAAAGACCCCCCAAGCTAACAGGGCAGCTTCGAGCTTCTCCAGCAGTCCTTATCAGCAGCAACAGAGGCTTCCGCCATTGCAGCCTCAGACTTCCTGCCTCGGCTTCCTGTGCTAGCTGTCCCACCAGCATCTCCGAGCTGCAACCATAGCTCCCCCCCCCATACCTCTGTCCTCCATCACTGCCATGTCAGCCTGCCCGCCTCACATGTGAGCAACACGCGTGGATTTCCCTTGCTCTGAGCAACGTTCAGGGTCCCAAACACATTCACTGAGTCCCTTGGGGTACAATTTGCAGTTCTCCATGCACCCATACAGATAGGCACACAGAATCCCATGCCTTACAGTGGCCATCAGTCCTTCATTATAAAAGGCAGGCCTTTCCTGCAGAAAGATGTCCTTTAGATGTATTTATTTTTCAAAACCTCGCTTTTTGGCCCTCTCTTTAGGTCATTTAACGCTTGCTGTACCCACGTACCACTTCATGCAGCGGCTTTTACATGCATGTGAAAAATGAATTGTTTTATTTGAATGCTTGATTTTAGAATGTTTGTTTTGGTAAAGTTTTTCTTGGTTTGGCTCTTGAGTTTTCTTTTGCAAAGCCAAGTGATAAACACAGTCAATATATTATTATTTTTAATTCTTATGGAACTCTGCCAAATTAGCCCCTTTATCATTGGTTTGTCCTTCATTTTTCCCAAGAAAATATGGTCACCGTACTTATAACGCTCCTTAAGTCTGAGGCTCTCTGTCTCCCAGATAGGGAGGAAATTCCCATGGAAGTCTGGACTTATGGTTGTTTGGTGAGGAAAACTCAATGGAAGATTGCACTGGGGGGCTAACTGGGGGGGGGGAGCTGTGTACCATGTGCTTACTGACACTAATCTCCACAGCTGCTATCCATCTGTTAAGAGTCTTCTGGGAGTTGCATTAAAAATGAACTGTTTCAATAGTGTGAGTCTGGCTGATTAGTAGTTTCCCATAATACCCCTGATGTAGCATCCTTTGGGGGCATTGTGGGAAAATGAAAGAGTGGTGAGACTTAACTGCAGGCACTCCCTGTAATTCTGCTCACACGCAAAATGGGAAGCACACACGGCATTGGTCCAACCTATTTCTTTTTAAAGATTGTACAAGACTAAACAAGATTAAACCGCATAACATGCCATCTGGTTAACCTTTCAGATGGAAAAAGACTACATCTTCCAAAATTCCTACCAGCACAGCTACCCTGTGGGTATTGACTGGGAATTCAGCAAAGTGCCTGATGGTAAAACCCTTCCGCTGGGTATCTTAACCCTTGCTATATCACCCTGTCCAGCCCATATATCTGCAGAATTGATAAAAGAGAGAAGAAAGGCATATGGTCAAAAAGATCAAGATGGCAGCTACAATAGTGTGATCTGATTTATTTTAAATTTTAATTTATTTTTTTTATAATTTCAAAAGAAAAGGAAAAGAAATAATACTGATACAAATGCACAAACTATGACAGCATAAGCACCTGATTACTGGTGGGTAACAAACACATTTCAAATAACTGGCACTCTAAACTATCATTAGTTAATATATTTCTAATATACTATTAATAACTGAAAAGACATTTCATGACCAATTTCTAGTAGACATATGCCTCTATTAACAACATGGAAATTGATAACTGGAAAAAGAAAATATTTAAATAAACAATACAGGGAAAGAATACTGCAACTAATGCCTTTAGACTATACGTCAAATTAAAATATAAATTCCAGAAGCCAAATTTGGGATGTGACACAATGACATGCCTAGAATCACATTCCAGAAATTGTTTCCAAATAAGACTGAATTGTACACCACACTTATTTTTTAGATATGAAGTTATTCTAGACATTCCACCATTTAATTAACATTCTTCCATAGAGAGAATAATAATAATAATAATAATAATAATAATAATAATAATAATAATAATAATAATAATAATAATTTAATTTGTACCCCGCCCTTCTCCTCATAGGACTCAGATCTTTTCCAATAAATAGCATGTAAAATCCTTGCAGCTATTACCATGTACAGTGCTTTTTCACAGTACTTTGAGAAAAGGTAAGGTATGGTCATGTGTAGCAAAAATATCTCCTTGCAATGGAATTACAACTTTCACAGTTCTGTTTTTAATGTGTGTTGCAAATGAAAACAGGTGGTGTGTTGATCACATTGTTGTGGCTGCAATCTTGATGGGTTGACTACATGCATTCTGAATGATGTCACAATCCATGGGGTGTCACTTGCTCCCATCTATCCCTGAACTTATATGCAATACTTAAATCCAATCAAGGTAACGGAGGTAACATTATTTAGCTTTGTTGCATAGTCAGCCAGATGTTTAGACTGAGTTTCAGTTTTGTCCACCTACTGGGTCCTTTCCCAAGGACCTCGATAGGCAGATGTTGTTGTTTGATGGTGTTAAAGGTATTGTTGCGGGATATAAGGCATTCCAACTAAAGCTGACTTTTGCAATTGACTGGTGGTGATTTTGTCAAGGCCAGTGGTGTTAAAGTGATGCTCCAGATGTTTTGGGATTGTAGCCAAGGCAGCTATCACTATTGCTACCATCCTTGCTTTCTTTTGCCACTTCTATTGTACCTCTTTGTACTTTTTTATTATCACACTTTTTAATATATTTTCTATAATATATTTCTATATTTAACATATGTGTCCACTATGACTAGTTACTAATAGTCTTCATCTCAAGTTTGTTTTGATTAGAAATTCAGCTCTGTGAAAAGCCTTTTTTTTAAAAAAAAAATATTATCAATGACCCACATGGAAATTTTTGCGGCTACTTCCTTATCAGAGTGGTGGCAGGAATTAAGTCAATCTTTTGCTGACCGGGAGATAAACTTATTCTGTATGATTTACCTGCTTAATCTTCACCCTGCAGTCTGTTATTCAAAGCCCAAGAGCCCCTGTGAGTCTGTAATTCCATAGAACACTTTTGATTTCAGATTACACTGTTTTCCCATTTGGATCAAGTTTCAAATCTGTTTCCAGAAATTCCAGTCTGTCCCTGCAGGTCTTCTAGCAAAAATCGGATATGCGGAAATGAGCAGGCAAAGTTCTGCATTGCATAGAAATCTACCTACTCACCTACCACATTTTTATCTTACAAATCAAGGTAGTTTATACATAGTGCAAGTGGTCCTTGACTTACAAGCACAATTGGGACCGGAATTTCTGTTATAAATCAGGGTAGTCGTAAAGCCATCCTCATATGAGTGGACCTCATATGAATTTTACTGTGGTTGGTCCCAATCCNTCCGGGTGCGCTTCAAGGTGTTGATTATCATCTTTAAAGCGCGCCATGGCATCGGACCTGGTTACCTCCGAGACCGCCTTCTGCCACAGATTACCTCTCACCGGCCGATACGCTCCCACAGAGAGGGTCTCCTCAGGGTGCCGTCAACCAGACAGTGTCGGTTGGCGACCCCCAGGGGGAGAGCCTTCTCTGTTGGAGCTCCCACCATCTGGAACGAACTACCCCCAGAGATCTGGGTGATTCCGGATCTCCCCTCCTTCCACCGCGCCTTCAAGACATGGCTATTTCAGCTGGCAGGACTGGCCTAAGGGGTATTTTAAATTTGGTTTTTAAATAACTTTTAAAAAAAGAAAGGCCTATATTAATATTTCATTTTAACCACATTTTAAATTTGTATATTGTATTAGCTATTCTGTTTTAAACTGGCTGTAAGCCGCCCTGAGTCCACTAGGAGAAGGGCGGGGTATAAATGTGATTAAAGTTAAAGTTAAAGTTAAAGAATCAATCCTCAACAGTCAGGTTTTAGGGTTCTCCCTGGCTGCTAAAAAAAAAAAATGTCTGTGGATGTTTCTTTGCGAGTTTGCACATTGCTTTGTTTGGTCACTTCTGCAAACTTTAAAACTTTGCCCATATATTATATTCTTGTTTATAGAGAGTGCTATGCTATTTTGGCCATATCAGTAGCAATCCTCATTTCTAAATCCTGGAAATCGTAACTTTTATCCTGGGGAGGAATGGTCAAAGATCCTCCTTCTGTCCTTCATTTTTGTGTTTTGCTCTTCATTTTTAAAAATTATTCTAAAATAATTCCAGGTGGGACACAAGTCTCAGTTCCTTTGGTTAATTTGTCTCAAGTTTTCAGTTCCTATATTACCATCTTTGAATTGATAAAACTCTGTGGGGAGACAGTTAGTTTTGATACAACTGCTTGGTATGTTGGACTACAATTCCTATCCTATTTTACAAGTTCAACACCGCCAGAATTGTCCCCTACCACAAATATTCATTTGAGACTCACCTAATATTCTGTTGGGAGGCAGGAAAGCAAAGATTTTCCTTTTCACAAAGGGAGACAAGGCAATATGTAGAGAATTTTCTCCTCCTGTTTTATTCTCCACATCACGTCTGTGAGGTGGGTTAGGCTGAGAGAGAGAAATTGGCCCCAAAGTCACCTGGCAGTGACTGAGATTGGAGGAGAACTTTGAACAACCCACACTGGCTGGTGAATTCTGGGAGTTGAAATCCACACATCTTGAACTTGAGAAATACTGAGGTAGTAGAGGATGGAGCTCATAGTTGTTCTAGGATAGGGGTAGTCAACCTTGGCTCTTTTATGACTCGTGGACTTCAACTCCCAAAATTCCTGAGCCAGCTTAGCTGGCTCAGGAATTCTGGGAGTTGAAGTCCACGAGTCATAAAAGAGCCAAGGTTGACTACCCCTGTTCTAGGATATAAGACGAAGAACAATGGTGGATATTAGAAGGCATAGATTTCACCTGGACATCAGAAAAACTTTGCCAAGAGGTTCAGCAATGGGGTTGGAGGTGGGAAATACTTCTTCACTGGAGGCCATTCAACACAAACTAAGTAGCCATTTATCAGGGATGCTGGAATAATGGATTTTTGCTCTGGGAAGGGAAATGTGCTAGATGAGCTCAAGGTTTGTTCCAAACCTTACCTTCTACCGGTATATAGTTCTATGAACAATTTATCAACATTTTGCTGTATAGGTAGCATTTGACGTACCCCTATAATTGCAACCAGCACTGAGGGACGTGCCATGTCCATTCTAGGACGTTTGCTGCAGTCATTCAGTCAGTCCTATGGCCCTGAAGTGAATTTGGCTTCCCCCATTGACTTTGCTGGTTGGAAGCAACTGGGAAGGTCGCAAATGGTGATCACATGACCTCAGAAGGCTGCAACCTTTGTAAATACATGCCAGTTGCCGAGGGCCCAAGCAGCAATCATTTGACCATGAGGACATTACAATGGTCATAAGTGTGAGGACTGGGTTGTAAGTCACTTTTTCAATACCATCAAACCTTCAAACAATTCCCTAACAAATGGTCACAAGCTGTAATGGATTTTTATTACTTTTGCATTGCCAGTTCCGAATACAAGACTTCCAGCATCAAAATCACAAGTATTTTGTGAATGAACATTATTAATAAGGGCCTTTCTGTTATTATCTGTTATTTCCTGTATGAAATTTCCATCTGGTTTTGATTATGTAAATTCAACTATCATTCATAAGCAAAGATGTCCATATTCTCCTATCACAGGATAATATTCCAGATCTCTGATGAAATACAGTCAGTAAAATTCATACCCAAATAAATGTGTTAGTTTTTAGGCTCCCACAGGACTCTTTGTTATAAAGTGAAATCCTCCTAATACTTATCTAGCTAGGAATTGGGAAAATGGTGAATATAATATATGGAAAGTTACCTTCTGGAATAAGACCTGGGATCCCAAACAGGAATTTTGGATTAAAATTTAGGGTCTTAAGTATGACAAAGCATTCTATGACATTTTAAATGGCTCTAACACCCACATACAGGATTGGAGCCAATCTTTAAACAAATGGAATTAGCAGCTTGGGCTTGAACCCAATTTATCTAGGTTAATACTTCATCCTGTTATCTTAAAGTACCAACAAATTACAATAATGAATTTCTTGAAAGTGAGCTTCTTTATTTAAAAAGAAAGCACATTTGCAGAATTATTTAAGCATAGTCTGCACTTGCAAGACCAGTGTAATATTCTGTCTTGACAGTCCAATTTCCAGGTTTTTTTTTACAAATGTGCACAAATCACCAAACCCAAATTGAAAGCTGACTATTTTGCTAAAGTCAAAATCGGCTTGAAAACGTAAAACCACATTCTGATATTGGTGCTTTTGAACATCAGAGCTTTATTCTTAATCAGGCTGATAATATTGCCTACAGAAACTATAGTGAAATGTGACTCCTAGTCAGTGAATTGAAGGAGAAATTAATATCTTAAATGGCAAGTAAGAACTCAGAACATAAGCAGGAATTTTTGGCAGAAGCACTGTTTTGGAGACTAAATAATGCAACCAGTTTACAGGTAGTCTTTGAGTCACAATCATTTTTTTAACAACCATTCAAAGTGGCAACAGGGCTGAAAAAAGTAATTTACACCCAGTCATTGCATTTGTGACTGCTGCAGCATCCTGGGATCAGATTATCGCCATTTGCAACCTTCCTAGCCAACTTTTGACAAAGGCAATGGGGAAAAACCAGATCGACTTAACAACCATATGATTCACTTAAGAAAAGCAGTGCTTTGCTTAATTACTGTGACAAAAAAGGTCGTAAATCCTGGCTACAATACAGGAATGTTTGGCTGTGGTCTTCTGTGTTACTTTTTCAATTCCTCTCCAATCTTTGCTGATAATCTCCCAACCATGATCCAACATTTTCACTGATTTGGAGGCCACTCAATGCTGCTATACTACCCGACTGGGCATTTAAACATATACATATTGAAAACAAAACCTAATGCAGATATTTTTGTTTATTTATTTAAAAAATTAACAGATTTATTTTATTTTTTTTATTACAATTTTTAAATCTCCTAATATTGTAACCAAGGCTCTCTGGGCAGCTTTATTGTTCCTGTTTTAATTCTTACAGGGATTCTCAAATTTCGCAGTACCACAACTGTTTAATGATGCAAAGGGTGTCTGCCAAGTATGGGTCAAATACTGAATGGCTGACATAACTGTATAATTGATTACGTTGCCACAGCTGCCATTGTGATG